CTACTATTAAACAAACTACACTTAAGAGTCAGGTCACTCCAACAATAAGCATTCTGGCCTCTTACCTAGAACACAATGTATTAACAGAGACACCACAAGGGGACAAGCAGCCAAAAACACCTTCCCAGTGGAAGGTACAAGAATTATTAGAGGTAAGGTCCACAATCACAAAGGCCCCAAAAGAGTCACTAATGAAAACTAGACAGGGAAATGGGCTTCCATGGTCACCCCTGACCACTGTCCTAGCTGAGCCTCCTAGCTTGGCCCAGTGTAATCACCAGAAAGGCCATGCTAATCCCAAAGAACTCACTCTTGCCAGTGCCAAGTGTATCTGGACAGCTTCCCAGCTGAAGTGTAGAAGAACTCATCTGCAAACCTCTGCACTTGCTGCCAACTCTGGGTAGGCTTGTAAATGACAGAGTTGGGGATTAGGGTACAGCTCAGTGGGAGAGCATTTAACTGGCATGTGCAGTCCTAGGTTCAACCCCCAGGCTTGCCAGGTAAGAAAACCACAATGTGACAATATAACAATAAATAAATAAATCTCCGATCAGTATTTTTAATGGCTGTAGGGGTTCTGGCTTTCTTTCTAGGATCACCTTTGGTTACTGATGCTTTTCTAGGAATTGGCCTGTTTTATCTATTGAAGTTTTCAAGCTCCCACAGGCATCAAATGGTCCCTGCCTGCCCCAAGGCTCTATTTTGGTCGGCTGCTTTGTCTGTAACTACCCCTTCCAGGCCTCACACCCCTCATGGGTCTTTCTTCTTGCTCCGTGTCTCTCAGGCGTTTGTCCTTCAAAGAATGAACTTTGACGCCTCTGTTCCAGCCTCAGAGCAATTTCACTCTGTTCTCTGTCAATGTGTGAACAAGCCGAAAGGGACACAAAGAAGGGAGTGGCCACGGCTCCCTCCACAAGAGGCGCTCTGTTCGGCTAGGGTTCTGCCCTCAATGCCACACCACCCTTTCATTATCACCCCCAAGTTGTTTAAGATCTCTGAGCCCCAGGTCTCAGGTTAATCAAACAGAGCCATCGCGACAGGCGGATATCAGCAGAGGCCACCCTACAGATAACTCTGAATTTTAAAGGGATTTAACTACCTGTCTTAACTACAGGATAAACAAATGTGCAGCAGGCTTTCTGTTCCTCGCAGATCCTACTTCCCTTTGTTGTGGTCCCTGTTTGTTTAGTTGGAAAGTTAGGTCATTTATTACATCCAAAATCCTCCCCAAAGAGTAACCCTCAGACATACCCCACATACATACACTCTCACACATACGCATACATGCTGTCTCTCATGCTCTCTCACTCACACACACACATACACACATGTTCTCTCTCTCTCTCTCACACACACACACATACACACACGCCCCAAAGAGGATTCAGAGAAGACAGGAATAGCTCCTAGCACATCCTTCCATGTGGGGCTGAAGCTTTCCAAAGAAGCTGCTTCTCTGCTAAAGACTAATGAAGATTGTGACTAGGGAGTTGGAATGTTGCAGAATGAGAGCCAAAATTACTCTTGACTATCAGGTTCTTTAGAAAAACAGCATCTTACCTTTAACCTTTGTATATGGCCTAACATGCTCACGATTGTTAGGTAAACCTCTTAGAAGGTACCGCTAATTTTAACAGCTTAAATTCCACCAACCCTAAAGCTAAGAGTGTTGTAAGAGTGTCTGAAATCTATAGAAAGACTTCCCTATTTGGCTGTTGCCCACCTACCTGACAGTCTACAACAGCATTTGTTGAATTCGTTGATTTACGACTCTGCTGTCCTATGATTACACAATTGCATGTAACCTCGCTTATGATGAAGCATGCCATTCCATATGGAATCCCATCTTGACCCTGGTCACTTGTGATGGAGGCCTCACACCCTTAAATAATGTGAGGAACCAAGCTGGATGGCATCAGCTGAAGCGTTACTAGAGCCCAGCACAGCCCTGCTCAGAGGGCACAGTTCTGCATTTAATAGTCTTACTTCATGAGGTTGGGACCAAAACACATTGTATGTAAGTATGGATACCTCGGTGATCTCAAATGGAAAATTCTCATGGTACCATCACCCAGGACACTCGGAGGTTTCACACGGTGCAGGCGTGGCACTCACTGCCAGCGCAATAGGACATAACTGAAATTGGACGAGAACAGCTATGGCAACAGGGTCAGGGCAACCAAACTGAAAACAGTGGAAAGGGAAAGCGGCACCACAGTCCTGAGCAATTGTGCTGGGGTGTGGTCACTAATGCCTCTGTGATTTCTGTCTGTCCCATGAGTCCCTGGGACAAAATGGAGCTGGGATGGTGATGGCGGTACAGTCATGTAAGGTCTGTCTCTTATAGTAGCCAGTGCTCTGCCCTTTACAGTCCCAGACAGTCAGGATGGGCCACAGATACTCAGCACATCTGGCAGCCACACACTGGATCTCTTGAGTGCAGCACCTGCTTTGAGAACTGAGCCCAGCCTTCCCCTTGCCAGGCATCCTCAGTTACAAAGTCTTGCACGGGGAAGAGAGAAACTGAGATCTCCAAACCCCTGGTAGTTCACCCCACTGTATCCAGAACTTGCCTAGCCCAACCCACGTCCCCCACTCATATCAGGGTCCTAGGCTGTCTGGTCCCTGGTCCTCATGCTTGTCATGGCTCAAGACCCTCCCTGAGTAGTCACGCAGGAAGAGCTCAGTCTCTTGATCTATGCCGGGCTGAGAAAACAGGAGGGCTTGGAATACTCTACACACTGCAGTGCCCCATGACCGTCTCTGCCTATGCTCCTCCCCTGAGCTCCAGCAGCCTCTGAACCATCTTATTCTGAACCATGTTCTACCACTTCCTACAGATGATGCAGAACCCCACCACCACCACCAGGATTCCCTCCCAGAGCCAAGGTGCAAGCCTGGATCCCTCTCACAGTCAAGGTGAGTCCTGAGTCCCAAGGACTCACAGTCCCCAGGGTGGTTGATGCTGTGGCCCTGGAACACCCAGGGTACTAGTGCTTCAGGAGTGAACTATAATTGGGCACTACTTAAAGAAAAGTGCGCTCCATTGAGGAAAACACTCCAGGAAATGTCAAGTCCACACCCCTGAAAAAGCAAGGCAATACTTTAAATCTAGTTGAATACTTGAAGAAAAGGGCTCCTTAAGACACGATGTCTAACTACAGGTGGGAGAGACTGCTAGAGCAACGCCCAAAGTGCCGTTCACTCAAGGTACAACATGTGTGGTTACACCCATGCAAAAACGTTAAGCTGCAGCACAGAAAATGAAGGTATCCCGCTGACACTACAACTGTGCATGCTGAAATACCACACTGCACCACTTAAATTCGCATACCTGACTAATACATATGAATCAAAATAAAACTGAATTATAAATAAGTAAACATAAAATTCCCTCCACAGCCATGAGGGAAAAGTGGGAAAGGAAAAATGCCATAAGCACCGTGATCAATGAAAAGGCAGCAAAGATAAGAGAGAAAGGAAATCAGACAAAAGCAGAGGATGTAGGAAAAGACTGAGCAGGAGATGAAATTGAGAGTCCACCATGGGCCCCTTCAGAACACACACAAGCATGGCCCACAGAGAGGCCTGCGCTGCAGCCCTGCAGGGTAACTTCAGCTCTGAGATGAGAAGATCTCCTGAAGATTCACTTCTCGGCCTCGAGAAGGCAATAAAGCCCAGGGCAAGCTAGGTGCAGCGGAGCATGACTTCCAGCATTCGGGAGGCCGAGGCTGGAGGATCAAGAGCTCAAGGCTAGCTTGGGCTGCATAGCAAGATCCTGTATTCCCCCACCTGGAGAAAAGAAGAAGCCACCACAAGAATTTCTGAGAAGGTATTATGACTCTAGGGGCCAAGGGAAAAGGCTCTGAAGATCTCTGACTGACATTCATACATATGGTATATGACACATATAATGTGTACATGAACATGTACACATGCACGCACAAATGCCTATACATGGATATACACACAAACACACATACACATACAGACATTCCCACAAATGCAAATACATACATATCCACATATGAATTCCCATGGGTATGGGCACACCCATGGACATAAACACATACGGCCCTCCACATCCTAGCCACACACTCAATAGCACACACGCAGCCTAAAAATACTTATGTGATTTATTCTTCAATTAAATCCAAAATTTTCTATAAATACTACTTTGCATTACAGTGTCTAGACATTGAGAGAAATGCTTTAAAATTAACAGTGGGTATAATAATATCTTTTCTTGATGAGTAAGTTAAAAACCAATTGAGAAATAGATACTTTGTCCTATAGCCCAAATAACCATCATAAGACTTTAGCAAGAGGTACACAAAGGTCCTGTGAGCCCCAAGGTGAAAGATGATTCTGGATTCTTCTAACAAAGACATCCATGATGTACCTAGTCTCACTCATAGGCTGCCTTGAATCACTCTTAGCTCATTTAGTGGGCTCAGTTTCCTCTCTACACCAGACAAGGACATACAGGTGACAAGCCACAGGGGAACAAAGGGGCTGATGTGGGGTGCCCTTCTGGCCTATTTCATCTGCAGAATTGGAGCTCAAAGGAGGGTTCACAGGCCAGAGAAGATAAATACCTAAGACCAGAGGGTCAGCACATTTACCTCAGCTGAGGTGTGCCCAGGACCCATCTCACTTACCCTCCTAAGCCTGGGTCAACCCACTACAAGTATATCAGAAAGATGAGAGACACCCACATACCCTACAGGCATCCATGACTTAAAAGCAGCTCAGAAGCTTCAGAGAAGCAAGCCCAGGCTGTGTGCCCATCAGATTCCTCCCTCTTCCCCAGATACCATCACAAAATACTGAGCATTGCGGCCTTGTCGTTAAAGGATAGGTGGAGGCTCAAGATGAGCAGGGGTAAGCATACCACAACCACGGCTGCCCGTTATTAAATAATACACATACTGAAACCCAGCACAGTTGGGAGACAGGCAGAGCTGACCAAAGGGCCACCTCATACCGATCATACTTACCTGCTTCTCGTTCTCATCCTCCAGCCGCAGCCGGTCCTCAATGCAGCTTCGGGCCTGCAAAAAGGCCTTCCTCTGTGAGCGCTCTGTCAAGATCCGCACGAAGACGCCATACATGTTCACTCCCACGAAGAGCAGGGCATTGGCACCAAGCTGTAAGGAGAGAACAAGTGCAGTGTGTAGGGTTCTGGATAGTCAGGTACAAGAGGGCCTGGGCCACCATGGAAGCCACCAAGAGGCTCTCTATCAACCCCTCACCCAGCTCCAAACTCATAGCCACCCAGGGATATTCAAGCTCTTCCCAGACCCACAGTGAAACACAGTAGGAACCACACGTGGCAGAAATACACCTTTGTCCACCCAACAGACAGCAATGACATGGGACTGAGGGGTACTAGCATCTAGTGTCCTAAGCTGAATTTTACACCCTCCCAATTTTATATGTTAAAACCTTGAGCCTAGAAGACCTCAGAATGTAATTGTATTTAGAGACAGGTTCCTTAAAGTGGTAATTAAAGTACAATGACATCATTAGGGTGATGTCAGCTCCAATCTGACAGGTAATAAGAGGCCAGGACACAGGACTGTGTGAGGCCCCTGAGGAGCCAGCCCTTGCCCCCACCTTGATTGCAGACCCCAAACTTCAGCACCTCAAGAACAGAACTTTCTGTTATAGAAACCACTACTTCTACTCTGTGGCACTCTGTTATGACAGTCACATAAAAACAACACACCTCCAACATAAGAATATGAAATGGCTGCTTTCAATACTACATGGAACACCCCAGAAAGATTCAGAGGAGGTAAGATGACAAAAATAAAACCCAAGTAATTGATTCGGGCACAAAGTAGGCCCTGTTCTGTAAACAGCCCATTTCGCTATGACTACCAGGCTGAGAAGGGCCTGTGGGGAGCACAGAGTCTTAGGCCTTCTTTGAAGGCCAGAGGGACACTACCTGTTTGGTTCGATAGAATCACAGGAACATAGCTCATGGCCCTGACCCAGACCTAGTCAAGACACCATAGGACCAGAAGACTTAACAGAGATTGGCAATGGCCAAAGAACTTAGCTTGAACCCCACACATCAGCCCTGACTACTGCTCCCTGAAGGTCTCTTCCCTTGGCCTGTCCCAGTGCCTAGCAGACCACAGGACCGGGTGGGAGAGAAGCATTTGTCATGAATCACAGAGCATGGCAGCCACCAGAGCAGGAGATGCCCTAACCAACCCAGGGAAATGTGAGTCTGTCAGCTGCCAAGATGTGGAATTTCTATCTGATGAAATGAGGCATTTCCATTTCTATATGAGGGATGAGAAGGATGCAGACTTCAAATGCTACCTACCACTCATCACAGATTATCCCCACGGAGCCCAGACACAGTTGTGCCACACGCTATACACACAGATCAAGGCTAGCAAGCACAGCAAAGGATGGATCGGGTATCTCCTGAAAGTTGCCGGGAGAGGATGGAGATATCCTAACCAGGAGTGGGCCTGAGACAGCCTTGGGACAAGCCCGGGCAGCCCCTGGCACTCCCGAATGCTGACCTGGGAACGGAGGAGATCCAGCCTGAGACACCATAGAAGGCAGATTTGGGCATCAGCCAAGGGTCTGGGCATGTGTTGTATGAGATGATCTCTTTCAAAATAAGTGAAAATGGGGACCAGAACTGGGGACTCTCTTAAAGACAAAGCATACAGGTACAGGTCTCACAAGTGACCTTAACCTTGACAGCATGGAGGTGAGTTGTTTCTTGCAAGGGCCTTTACTGATGGAAATCAGAGCACATGCTCAAGCAATGGGAGCAGTTGTTAGTTCAGGGCTATGTTGCAGGACCTTCCAGTAGGTTGCATCAAATAAGGTAAAAGTGGGATTGTAGCCAGACAAGTTCTTTGTTTTTACAAGCATCCTATAACTACTTACACCCCATGCAGTCATTGAACACTAAACCCCTTTTGGTACCTACCTCTAACTTCCTGAATTTCCATCTATTATAAATACGGCATTTCAAAGCCATAAACCTGTAGTGGTCACCTGCACTCTAGAAACATACCAGAGAGAGCACTGGCTGTGACCCTGAGCTCGACATGTAACCCCGAGAATCTCCCTGTGACCCTGACATTGTGGAACTCACTAAGGGTGAGAACCAGTGTGTCCCTCTGTGTCCTTGGTAGCTAAACTCAACCCCACCCCACTGTGTGTTCTTTCTCTTGGCATCTACTCATCCACGTGTGGGCCACATGCTGCTCTCCACAGAATATTCCAATGGCGTCACTGTGACTCCTCAACTCACAAGAAGTCAGCTAAGTAACTCAAGCAGAGGAGGACACATTAAGTACACTGGGTGATTGTTTAGGGTGGTAGGGCTCCAGGGGTGTGGCAGGGCATAGGCCACGGCCAAAGGACAAAACACATCCAGAGCATGTGAAGTCACCTGACACAAACAGCAAAGACAACCAGCACCACCACCTCCCTGACAGGGCAGTAGAGTTCTCTGGAAAACACATAATGTAGCAACACAGTTACTTCAGCCCCACGGTCAGGCTGATTGTTTCTAGGGCTTGAAGAACCCTGAGCAAGGCCTGCCACTGTCTATCGAAGCTTCTAAGACCACCGGACACCGAGTCCCAAATGAAAAACTGGAACCCCAGGCTCAAGGCTACAGCAGCATGTCTAGATCTGGATACTGGGTAGTCAGAACATCTGGACCCTCAGCACAGACTGGGCTGGACATCATGGCCAGTATGGAGGTGACCCTGTACAATGCTCAGGGTCACATGGAGACAGTGAATGGTACATCTGCACCCTCTCCTTGCCCTCAACACAGGACAAGAGCCATGACTGGGGGTTAAGAGAACAGGCAGGTGGGCATGTAGGGTAACAGAACCTTTCAGGACAATGTAGCACACTGGGAATTAATAGATCTGACCAGTCCCTGGACAGCATGGAGTCTGCAACACGCTCAGGCCTATCAGCTGTGTGGGTGAGTACCAGAGAAGGGCCTGCACAAGAGGCTCCCTCCACCTTCTAAAGGAAGTGAAAGTCAGGCAGGCACACGCCTTAAAGTAAAAACTACAATTAAAGCCTCCTTCTGAGATCTGCCCACATCCTATCTTCTTTCCTCCCATGATATCCACCAAGAACGTGTGGGCCCAGATTGAAGGTGTGTGAATGCGCGTGGATGGAAAAGGCAAGGATCGGTGCATTCACTTGTCAGTGTGCTTGTATGTGGACTGGGAAAGCTGTGGGGCTGATAGGCTGGCTGCCCATCTCCACACAGCACAGGGGTAGCCCTGGGAGTCCCCTGGCTTCTCAGCATCCCTGCTCAGAAGTGAGAATCTCCCTACTCCATGTCCACTAGCTAAAAATCTGCCCGCTCTATAAGAGAAGCTTATCCAATGACCATTAGAACGTCTGAAGGACTGCATCAGTGAGGACAAAAGTCTACAAGATGCTGTCTTCCAGGAGCCACTCCAAGGGAAAGAGATCAGCAGATCAAACAGCCTGTCCCCCACAGACAGTACTGTGGAGAAGGGTTTGGGAGGCAGGGGAAGTGACCCCTCAGCAAGACTAAGGGACATCTGCTAAACACCTCTCACCTGCCCAGGTCTGGCCCACCTAGCCAGCCCTGGAACCCCCACCTCTTATTGGCCAGTACGGCAGATGCAGACACAAACTCACCACCCATGTTATCCCCTGGGATAATGATTCTCAATTCTCCCCAAGAAGCTTTCTGGACTTTGGGCCAAAGGGGCATTTGGAGCCAACACATTCCCCGGTACATGAAACTGGCAATATGACTGAGTAACTGCTCTTAATGGTGAGAGAGAGGTGGCTTAGGCTGAGAGACCAAGGAGTCATAGGCTACTGGATCCTCACAGGGCAGAGGCCAGGCTTCCATCCTACCTCCACACTCCCTGAAGGCACCCTGGCCTACCACTGCCATTACCCACACTAGTCTTACAGCAGCCTATGGCCAAGGTTTCCCTGAAGGTTTGGAGGCTACCTACTAGCTCAGTAGACCAAGTGGGTCTCAAACTCTCTTCTCTGCCTCCCGAGTACTGGGATTAAAGGTATACGCTACCACTGCACATGCTGCCCTTTTAAATTATATCCCCTTTGCCCACTTCAGCTGTAAACTTTTCCCCTTCTGATACTTTCCAAGATTCTGAGTCTTTGATGGTGGGCTCCACACCTCCCTCAGGAGTGGGTGTGGCAAGGATAGGGGCTGTGCCCAAGGCCTCTCAACTATTCTAGTGGTTCCAAAAGCACCAACCTCACCCACACACATATGCATACTCCACACCAAATACAATGATTATACTAATCTCTCACAGAATGTCATGGGTGTTTCTCATGAAACCCTCCCTGTCAGGCAGATGTCAGTGCATGGCATAGCAGAGCTAATAGGGTCTATGGGAACAAGGCCAGCACCAATAACTACTCCACATTGTCCTTGCATCCCAAGCTCACTCTGTGCCCCTGACCCCATTCCTCAGACAGACACAATAAGGGCAAGGAAGAAAACAGGGCTTCCCAGGGACTTCAACACATGCACAATCCCTTGCAGTGGCTCTTACCTGAAAGATGCCCCAGAGATGGGACAGACCCTGCATCCAAACCAGTGTCCACCTCACAGAAATCAGAAGCAAATCAACAGCAAGGAATCATTCACCTCCCCACCACCAAGATGCAGGGCCAGCTGGCTTTAGACCCAGAAGACCAGCTACAAACAAGTTCAGAAGCCTTCATGGCCCCTGTTTGGCCAGGCAGAGCCCAGAGAAGAAGGGTCTCCCAGGGACCCAGAATTCCTCAAAGCCACACACACAGTAGGTTCCAGTAAGAAAGGAACTGGGAGCAGCATCTGCAGATGCTTGCCCAGCATGCTCAAAGCAGCCAGCTCCTGAGTACGGGAGGGTTCTGTCTTGGCAAAAGAGCTGGGGTTGTCCATGGCGTAACACACTAGAGTCAGAGGTATCAGGACTAACTCGTGTTCAGCTTAACTCAGAAGCAGATGGGCTTGAATACAATATTTACAGGAATGCGCATACTTGTGAATCTGTTAGTACTGCCAACAGAAGCAACGGTGTCCCAGAAACAACAAGGGTACCCAGAGCCCAGACGGCGGTTTCTAATGACAACCTCTGAGAAA